TTTCTTTCTTTCTTTTGCTTTCTTTCTTTATTTCTTTTTCTTTCTTTCTTTTCTTTCTTTCTTTCTTTTCTTTCTTTCTTTCTTTTCTTTCTTTTCTTTCTTTCTTTTCTTTCTTTCTTTTTCTTTCCCTTTTTTAATCTTTCTTTCTTTTCTTTCTTTCTTTTGCTTTCTTTCTTTTTCTTTCTGTTTTCTTTCTTTCTTTTGCTTTTTTTCTTTATTTCTTTTTCTTTCTTTTCCTTCTTTCTTTTCTTTCTTTCTTTCTTTCTTTTCTTTCTTTCTTTTTCTTTCCCTTTTTTAATCTTTCTTTCTTTTCTTTCTTTCTTTTTCTTTCTTTCTTTCTTTTTCTTTCTTTTGCTTTCTTTCTTTCTTTCTGTCTTTCTCTTTTTTCCTTTCGCCTCCCCTATAGAAGTGCCCGGTACAGCTGACGGCACCACCCCCGGCGGGGCGGGAATGGCGGAGGGAGCGGGCCCGCCCCGGCCCGGCCGCGCTGCCCGCGGTGCTGCGGCGCCCTCCGGCGGCCGCAGGGGGAGCGGCGGGCAGGGCAGTGACCCCGTGCGGCACCGGCGGCCTTCGGCCCTCCCGCGGGGTGTCTCGGTCACCCCAATAAAAAAATGTAAAAAAATGCACAGTGTGCATGAGATGTGTGAAGGGGGAATATAGTAGTCTTAAACCAGCCGCAAGACCGGACACACGCAAACTGAAGAGCAGCGGCATAGAGGTGAGGTATTCAACAATCCTCTGCTTTCCTCCACTCACTCTCGGTCTCTGAAGAAATGTAAATGTCATCAAATCCAGGTATTCTCTGGAGACAACGGATACAGCTATGAGGTAGTATCATGTAAAGTGATGGAAGAACAAGACTACCATGAATGCTGGGGCTGGGGGGGATATACCCACCGAAAGGAAAAAAGGAAAAGAAGGTTAAGCCCTGAAGAATGTCTCATCACTGTTGTGGTGACACCTCCTCCTCCTTTACATTTTGGGGTTTGTTTTAAGGAATATTTGAATGGCATAAAAGAAATCTAAAAAAAGCCTGTGCATATAGCAGAGCTGAAGGATTATATAGATAGCACAGCAGTGATCTCTGGTACAGTTGTAATTTAATTCTGTAATTTAATTCTGTTTCAAGCTCTCCAACAAAAGAAAATCCAATGGGTTTCTTTCCTCTGTCTTTTTATGAATGAAAAAAGCCTGAGGGTTGGGTTATTTGTATTTTAATATGAATGGTTTAGGAATGCTGTTCTTTTCTACCAACAGGCTGGGGGATCTGGCAGCACTGGAGCAAAACAGAGCTGAGTCCAGGCACCAAACTACACTAAACTTTGCTTCACAGTTTGTAGGAGCACTGACCAGGAAAAGGACAAGAGGAGGGAGTCAGCATTTCTTACATTTTCTAGGAGAGCAGATACTGTACTTCAACTGTCTCACAAATCTGAGGGCCTTTTTCCTACCAGGTAAAAAGAAGCAAAAGAGGTCAACAAACCACTCTTAAACTGCCTGTGAGAAGCTTGTTGATACTCCTTATTCCCAGCAATTACAACCTTTATGTGCCTTTTGAGACTAGACACAAAACAACTCAAAGATTATTTTATGCCATCAACTTAGTTTTCTGTCCTGGTTAACTCCTAGAGTGTCAGAAAGGAACACAGTGAATCATACCTTTTTGTCAAGCCCTGCTGTTTCCAATGCTGAAGTAATGAAGTTGGGCCAAATCCTTTGACCCTTCAGGAAGACATGGACTGCCATCTGTGAGGCAAACTCTCTAATCGGCTGCTCTTCTTTTTGGAGATTTCAGTCAAAAAGACAGGTTCCAAGCAATTATGCCACAAGGTTTTCTCTGGGTCTCCCTTTTTTGTCCCCTCAGCTGAACAGAGGTGCCATTTCTTTCCCCTCCTTCCTCCGGAGAGCTCTTGTCCTGCTCTCCATGGGGACCTGCTTCTGGTTTCCTTGTTTACCCATCACAGAGCGCCTGACTTCTTTACCGTCTTAGGCAAAGCTTTATCAAGGCTGCTGCAAGATCTCTCACACAACATAGATTTTTGAGATTAAATATACCCTTTACATCCCCTTAAAGTGAAGTTCACACTGAATATGTCAGATCATGTATGAAGAAAAAAGCATGGTCAAGCTGTACATAAAAACTTCTCCATTAGAAAAAGCTGTCTCTGTAGCACTGGCTGCTAACAGACATCCAGTTCTTCTAACCCGTAGTTTGAGGGACATCTGGGGACTCATTCCAAGTCCAGACTTGTGTTCTCTACCTGGTCCAGGAAGAGCTGCACTCTAAGACCTTCACAAGTGTTCTACATATTGTTTAAGCATTTATTTTTTATCATAATTGCCATTATATTCTTTTGTGTTGCTTTGTCATTCCTACACACTCAGAGGTTTCTCACCTTAGTCCCTGTCACTCTGGGAGAAATGCATCCGTTCCAAAAACCAGAGGATGAAGTTTGTGGGCCCTCTCTTAGTTCCTGTTGCTGCAGCTTTAACAAACAGCAGCCCAAGTATAATGCTGCTGCTGGATTTGGCTTCTAACAGACTTTACTCAGTAACTAAATATTTAGAAAACATTTTCTTCTGAGCTATCTCTCACCCTCTGAATTACTGAAAATAATATTTGATCTTTTTTGTTCTTACATGCTAGTGAAATATTGCCATATCTGCCTTGTGTGTGGATGCTCCTTCTGCAGTATGCAAATACAATTATCAAACAGATTTTTTTTTTTAGTATATACTGTAACATTTAACTTCTATTTTACAATATTTGCTGGATTTGCAAATCTTAACTTTTGGTTTAAATTGCATGACAAGATTTCTTAAAGTATCTAGGATGGTCTTACTGCCATTTGTATGAGCTTGTTCTAAATATGATTATTCTGTCTTCTATACTTAGTGCTCTAGCACGGACATGAGCAGCTTGCCTCTGCAGAGACCTGCTGTCCTGAAGCAACCTAAGCAAGTCAGACCTGACAACAGGGTCTAAAGACAAAGCAGGGTTAATGGAAAAGCAGAGGTGATAAGTGCTGCTGTACTTCCTGAAGAGTAGGAGACTGGAACATGAGACATGTCTATGAAAGATTCTTCCTATAGGAGTTGGTATACACAGAAGAAAATAGCATTTCCCAGCTTAAGTGTGTAGATTAGAAGTATTTTTGGCTGTAGTTCAAACACAGTGACAAGGTTTAGTACAGAAGATATTACTTCCTAATACTTGTCAGTGTAAAAAAGACTTTGGGAGACAGGAGAAGAAAGAAGATGGGATATTATGTCATTTAAGTCCCTAAGGACCTCACAACTGCTGTTTCTACATTTATGTTCTGCTCTTTCTGTATTTCTGCAATGTCTCTGAAATGGGGAATTGCACCTACCCCCATTTAACTAATCACAAAATCATGACTGCAGAGACCAATACCTAGATTCTCAAAGTCACACAGAAGTATATATTCCGCTGATAAAAATAAGATGGAAATGTGAAAAAAGACTCAATCTTCACTGAAATTAATTATTTCAGACATAATTAAAATCCACACGAGTGGTGATATCACACAGCCTTTCATTACGGACTCCGTGCTTTACCAAGTGAGCCACTACCAAGTTATAACTGCATTTTAGCAGGGATCTGAAACTGTAGACATGTTAAAAGTGATCAGAATAAAACATTCTGAGCTGTCCAGTGAGCATTAAAATAATGAGCTGCTGCTGCTTATCACCTGTTGGATCCCAAATTCATATATCTGCAGAAAGGAATTTGAGTGGTCTCAGCAAAAGGGCATGGGCTACAAGAGCTGGGGCAAAAACCTCAGTTTAAGAAGCAAATGGGACATCACCAGTGTGGAGTGCCCTGCCTAAGCCAGAAAGACCATACCCTGATGTTATCAAGCATCTGCAGAAGACCTATTGTGTTTTATTTCTCCTTTTGTGTTACCTGTTCCCTCCATGTAATTCCCCTAAGATAAAGTGGGTTTTCCCCTATAGTGTAAGTGTTAAGACCCCAAAATTTGTAAACTTGGGTTTTCCCCTTTACCTCATCTCTGTAAAACCCCCAATTTGTAATAGGCCAACCCCCCAATGAATATGTTGAATACGTAGACCTAAACCTTTTAAATATCAACTTGTAAGTCCAATAAAGCATTCCAGTTTCTCACCTCCACTGGGATCGCTCAGTTTATTGACCTCCACAATCACCTTTTGAAGGCAATTTTTCCAGGGGTCATCTATGAGATTCTATGAAACCCTTAGGTGTCTCACTTTTACCAGCCATCAGCCAAAACCTCCAGAAGACTCTGCTCTAGAGGATGCCTTTCTCATAATAGCAGAGGCATAAATACAACTGTATTTGCCTTATTTGAATTTCTGTATTGATCACTGTAGTCTACAGATTCTGAAAACTTTTTGCCCTTTCTCTCAGTTCCTACTAGTGTTGAGCATTAAGACGCGTTGACTCGATGATGGAATGTCTAAGGTTTTATGTTCCAGTGCACAACTATGGATTCGAATCATACCAACAACTATAAAGTACCTACCTAACCAAGGAGCATTTCATTAGACCAGCCTGTGCAGCTGAATTGTTATCATCACTTAGACTCAAGAAGGAGTGAAGGCAGCTCCCTCCCCTGTCTCCAGCACCTCGGGGAAGAGGAATTTGGACAACAGAACTCGGAAGAACATTTGATCTATGTGACATGCCTGCCACACACAACCTCTTTCATAACCATGGTATTTAACTACCAGCACATATGGTCATCCCTGCAGACACTGAGACAATTCATACATGACCTATGCATTTTCTTTTTCCCCTAGAGAGAAGTAGACAGGCTGGAAATGGAGTTCTTGATAGTTTTTAGCATTCAAGATGGCCAGAATACTCACTACCTGATGTGAGAAATCATATACTTCAACAATAGTCTGCTTTCTTGCAGATTGCTTTCTGCTATTTTTGCAGAACTATAGTAGGGTAACATGGAGTGAACATTTGGGGCTTTAAAGCAAGACTGCCATGACTTTCTTCATTTAAGGCAAAAGAAGATTACAAGTCCCATAATCCTTTTTTCTAGAGTTAAATGGCCTATGGACAGTAGAATAATGACGGCACAGGAACAGCAAACGGCCAACTTCATAGAGGACAGGTAACAGGCTATAAGTAAAACCTTGGAGTACACAGAACAGCCACTGAAGGTCCACTCTGAACTTGTCTTCTGTGTATACCATATCATATCTGGGCTGAATCTGACTTTTGAGACCATCATTTGTTTGTGCAAACAGGCTATGAAAGTGCATGTCATTTCTCTTTGAATTACAAAGACATGAGATCAAGAAGCTCTGGCTTGGCTAAACCACTCTCAGCAGTTCTGATGCCTCTCGAACACAAAGGTCAAGGCCAAACCCTTTTCTCTAGCCAGAAATAGGGACATAAATTTGCATTTCAATATAAAATTTAGAATATTTACTCATCATGAAGAAAATAACTGATTATATGACAGGGATTATGAGTTTAACAATCTTTGCTTTTCCCCTGTGTATGACATATATATAAGGCAGCACTGCATTCTCAAAGGAAACCAAGAGGGAACTAAAGCTGATTTATTTGTGTATTATAATCCCAACATTCAGTAATGAGTTTTTAAAAGGCAACAGTCCCTGGGAAAGGAGTCCAGCACACAACTTATCTGACCTAGTACAGTCTACTACTTCATTCCTGAAGTCTTGGCATATATGATCCCTGTTCATCAGAAAGACCATAAATGAAAGAGTTCAGTGTGTTCTTTTGCTGCCATATTTTCTGTGCTCTAGGGGGAGATCAGAAATTCTGGACTTTATTTATTTCTCAGGATCAGAAATGGAAAGATATCCTAGTGTTGGATACAATATTCAAAGCCATGAGATTAATGAAATTGAGGGCTTTTTGCAACAGCGTAACAAATTCTGTTTTTAAGCAAATCACTCTCACCACACAGAATAACATGACTTTTGTTGAGATTTACCATGTTTAATTAGTCATTTTTTCAGTAGCTTAACCATGTATTCAGTTAAATAAAGTAATAAACAAAAGTGTTCAAATTGAGACAATACTGTCTTTATGTTATTTTTAAATTGTGATCAGGTATCTGTGGGACATGGAAAACTAAAAATCAACCAAAGTACATAACCTTTGCTTCTCTAGTAAAATTTAGTGCCAAATTCTGCTCTCAGGTAAATGTCTATACAGCATTGTCCATAACAACATAGGGCGTATTTTAAAAAGTGCCAAAGATCAGTAGCTGTTCTCACATCTCAAAGGCTCTACACACAGCAAACAGAGAGCTGGTGTCTGGCTCTAACACATATTGCCCTCCTGGCCTACTGCAAGCAGTCACAGCATCGCTCCTCTACAACAAACTGATTTGATTTCACCAGATGGTAATTCAGATAAATTTTTGTTTACTTCAATTTGCCTGCTTCAAGTAATGAGAGCACAATTTGGCTCCTTTCTCAGGGAAAAGGAAGCCAACCAAACATGACTTTCACCAGGCCTCAGTTTTTGGCCCCAGATTTCAACATATACTATTACAACAATCAAAAGAACCATAGAAATTACTTATCATTTTACTGTTCCTTACACATTTCACACAGTCCTGCAGCAAGCAGAATCACAGATGAACCCTAGAACATACAGAGAGCACAACTACTACACTGGACATGAAAAGGAAATTTTATTAAACATGTTTACATAACATGAGTTGGAAGTTCATTTAAAAGCACAGGGGAGTGTTAAGACAAGTGGTCAAAATAGAAAGATACTATTGAATTATAACTAGTTGGTGTTTGGCCACTAAGACAGAGCAGGATCTAGTAGTAGTGCACCAACGCTTGAGTTCTTCCTGCTCAGCAGGTCGAGCAGTAACCAATTTATGCCCTATGGAAAGATGGGCAGAATAATTCCCATGTGTTGAGTAATAATAAATAGTTCACTTGGTGCAGGCAGTATGTCTATGAATTAAAACCTAGTGTGTACACAGTTTCTACATGTGTTACAGCCCCACAGTAGGAATCTACACCAAAATAGTTATTAGAAGGAATTTGGTCCGTACTACATCACGTTTTCCATAGGGTAAAAAATAAAGTCCATCTATAGACATTTAGCACCAGACCCACATATCTAGCCTGGCTAAAACCTGCAAAATGTCTATAAGAAAAATGGATGGCTTAGATTTCTTGGTTACTTCAGTATAGTAATTACGAGCAAACTGTACAAGTACATGCAACATACAAGCTGGCCTATGTGGAACTAACATACATTATTAAATAACCTTTGTCATCTCTTTTTACAAAACGTGCATGCAGCTTTGAACAGTTCCAAGTCATGCTGCTCTATTTTTGTGATCACAAAATTGAATGGCCTGTAAAGGAGGGGAAACATATCAATGCACCTGCAGGAATCTGCAGTTCTTCGCACATATACAGAATATCACAAGGGATTTCAAGGCCAAGAAGAACTCAAATGAATAAAAAGCAAATTGAAATTTGACTTTTCTTTTTTTTTTTCTCCAAAAAGTAAGATATCTTGCGTTAAAAAATCAAGCCTTGTGCTTGCATCAATCTCAAAGAAATGTAAACTAAAATTTGATAAAAACATTAGTAAGTGCAGAATATTTCAACTGGAATTTCCAGCGAAACATTGAACAACTCATACCATGCTCTATCCAGGGCAGACAGGTGCGTCTGAAGCGACACACATCAGAGAAGCCCGGGTACAGCTGAAAGTGTCATATGCTCAATTCATTCCTGGTCAACATTTTGGGAAGTCAAATATACATTTATACACAGAAACGTAAGTATTTCCTCTCCATTTCTAGGAGGAAAATTGCATTACCAGTAACATATTCAATGTCAAAATTAAGACTAAAGCTGCTTTATACCAGTCCCCAGCAGTAGTTGCAGAATTCTTCAAAATTCTTCCATGCAAAACATCATAAACATAAAAGTTATTATATATATAATGCAAACATATCTGCTTTTTACAAAGAAAAAGTGGCACTGTGATGATTATTTATTTTTAGGAAGATAACTAAGATTGGTCATTTGTTCTGGGTTCCCATGTGAGAGACTTGTAAGTACCAGAACTGAGAAGCGATTTGAACTCGCTGGAATTGTAACTGTGGCTGTTGAACATTTTAACGATGCTTACAGAGATATGCTTCAGCCCTTTTTTGTTTGGTTTAGAAAAAGAAAGGAAGGGTCTCTGTTAGCAGTGTGAGGACTTCTATGAAACTAGCAGAATCATGTGGCAAAAAACTGGTGGAAGTGAAGTACAGAAAAACTGTTGAAACACCAGGAAGGTAACACTGCTTGAGGGCTCTGTCAAAATGTGAAAAATGCAACATTGTTAACAGAGTGAGAGCTTCCAGTTTGGGTCACCTTTGACTTAGATCAAATCTAAAAGTCCCTCCCCTTTTTCTTTTTTTCCTTTTTTCTTTTTTTTTTTTTGATCGTTATAAGCATCAGTGATAGCCGCTAAGAGATTAGCCATATGTGATATACCTTTGTTCTGTCAATTTAAGCTATCTCTTAACAAACAGACATACATTTGGATAACTACTACAAGTGAAAACAGAAGTGATTGTCTCTCTCCAACAGTGTTTTTGATTATGTGAATATCTGGTTCCAATTGTTATCCTGGGTGATGTTTTTATTAGACAGCACCTGCTGCTACGATCTAATGCAGGGAGGCCCAGTTGAACTTTCCAGAGATGACTGGGAAGCCCTGCGTGTCAGGGGAGTCAATGTTGGATCCACTAGCGATGAAGGTGGAAATAATTTATACCAGCCTATTACCACACTGGACAGATCTAGTTCCTCCAGAAGGATCTGGGCAACTCCCATGAAGCATTTGTGGTCCATTCGGCCATAGTCTCCCCAGACTATTACCTGGAAGAACATAAAATTAAGGTTCAACATTGTTCCCAAATCCGTGTTTATATGGGATTATGTACTTATACCTGTGCTTATACATGTGCACTCCTGTTATGTGTAGGATAAGGAAAATGTTACTCTCAAGTGTGAATGACTGCTTCCCTTTTGTGGGAAAACTTTATGGCAGGACGGGAGTGAGAGGCAACAAAAGAGAAATGTCTCACATCTCAGACATTTTGCAAGCCTGAAACCACAAGCCACAAGGATGTGTTTGCTGATAGTTATAAAATTAAATGCTTATGAGTTGGAATGGGTTTACGCATACTGGTTAAATTTAAGTAAACATGCAAGTGCTTCTCCAAATGACAGCCTAAAATGAGATTAAGAAGCAACTGACCTGAAGGACTTTACCCTGTGGACTTTCTTCAAAAACCAGTGTCTGTTGGTACAAAGGATCAAGGGTCTTCCTTGCAATTCTTGTCTTCTTCTTAGCTATACATGCTCCATTTTCCAGTAAATACACTTTGACATATGGAGCTGCAAACAGAACATTATGAATGTTATATTTGGACTTACAGTGCACATCTGAGATGCAAGACAAATGCCTTAAAAAGAAACTGAGTGGAAAGAAAATGACAAACGTTATCTTCACTGTATCTTCATAATTGTATAATCTGAATACAATTATATTCGTAAAATAAATTACATGGTCCATAAGAAATCAATTAATTTTTATAAACTTGGAATATAATGATGTAAGATGTTACTAACAACAATTACGCTTCATGTCTGTAATTTTAAAAATGCTTTATTTTTCCAGGAATTAACCGTCACTGACAGCTATTCTGGAGTCTCTATTATGCTTAGGGGTCAGAGATAGTTCAAAACAAAAGAAATATTTAAAACTACACCATTCCAATAACACAGACATTAATCGCTAGTTCATCTTCAGCTCCTAAAGAAGTTGCAAAGTACCACTTTGGCTAAATGTTATCTAAAACAACTGTTACAGTTGTTACAGTAAGAAGTCTTTGTGGTATTGATTCTAAATCTCCTCTAACAGAGATTTCTATAAATAACTTGAACTTCAACAAATGTCCTTATAAAATGATACAATATTAAATCTCATTCATTATACAAATTATTGACACTAGCACTAGCACAAGCACAAGCTGCTGTCTTCTTGAAGCACAGTTGTGTACAGAAGACCCTGGCATGTGAGTTTGTTAATTCGTTTGTTCAAAGCACTTTCATCCATTCTTCATCTCTTTTCATGGAGAACAAACACAAAGGATGTCATCTATATTGACAAAGTCCCTCTTAGATATATGACTTGCCTAAGATACATAGAAATATTTCTGCAAATGTTCCTTCCAGAACAGATGTTGAGTTGCTGAAAGTCATTCCTTGAAAGGTGACATGCAACTGGCAGACGTGAGGTGGTACACTGGTAGCAAGGATATATCCATGCACACGCTCCTTGTTGAAAAGCAAACCAAACAAATGCAAATATAGCGACAGCCAACAAGGAGCTCAAAAAGCCTCCAATCCCCAGTTCGTTAGTGTATTTCATATTGTCGTTTTCTGTTCATACATTGTCTATCTTTTTCCATACCTGGGGTAGATTTGGAGCCAGGTTTTTGTGTGAGGCCACGGGCTCTAATGACTTCTACTTCTAACTGGCCTTTTTTATCTACCATTCCAATCTGGATGTCACCTGAGAGGGAGAAGAAGGAAGTACACATTTTAGAGAAGCAGTACAGCTCAGGAAATAGGGTATAAGAGTGAGAAACAGAAAGACTAGCTTGATATTATTCTTCTGCCTTATTGTGCTTGTTGCCTCTCCCCCTGATTCCTTTAATTTCTCCATCCTTAACCAAGGACTAAATGATACATAATTAGGGAGCAGGGTGCCCTCTCTTGGTGTACAGTTTTTACCAGACCAAAATAGGTGTTTTTCCTTCAAAAGTCTGCAACAAGCATAAGGGTGATAATGTTCCCGTTTTTATCAATATTCCACACACCCATTTTTGGTACGAATAAAATATTGCAGCATGTTAAAAAAATAAACTGCTTTTGTTTCTAAATAGTCAAACTCATTTTCCTGCCTGAGTTTTGACAAATGACATTTCCTGCAGAAAAAAATGTAAACTGCTTAGTCTGAGACCAAGCATGTTCTGATCTAGATCAACAAAATACAAGGGAAGACAACTATGAGCTGATGCTCAAGGCATTATATCTCTGTGGTTTCATATATCATGGAAGCAGCTGGGTAGAAGTCTAACAGGTCACTTAGAAAAAAAATGAACAGTATGACACGGGTAGCTATGTGACACTTGGGCAAATAAACAAACTACATTCACGAAACACATGAGTATGTATATATTTGACATGTAAACTGATTGTCTAAAAAACCAAATTCACGAACAGATAGTCTCAAACTATAGAAATTGGGGTCTGGATTTAGAGAAACAGCATTTTGAAATTAACTGGGCATGAGATTTTCACGTTTCTCTAACAGCGTATTAAAGTAGTATTTATAGCTTGGTATGTGAAGCATGACAGAGCAGCAGGGAAAATTTTTTTATCAATCAAACTTTGCTTGAATAAACGTAGCTCTGTGTTACACTAAAAATAGGTGAGGAAAATTCCAACAAGCCTTTTTTAAGAGCACATCTCTGTATCACACATCCAAAACAAAACATGCGTCAGGGAACCAGAAGGGGGAGCAATAATACAAACATTTTCAAAGTGTCACTTGTGAAAGGATACCACAGAGAAGGTATTCTGAAGATTGTTAAAAAGCATGATGAAGTGTTTTTGGGACAGGCAAAAGTTGAACCTTTAGTAAATAAAGTAGTTCTAAGAATTTAAAATAAATGTATTACTCAAGTTATCTGCAGAAAAATCTTTAGTCAAAAAACAAGATTAAAATAGAGAGACGGAAGAAATCTAGACCCTTACATTCATACCAATAAAGCCACTTAGATATTTATTGGGCAAACAATCTCACAAATACATTTTCTTTCAAAATAACAATAAAAATATTAATTTAATAAAGTTGGTGATTATTAATGCTTTAGTAGCAGTCATTTGGATTTATACAGCAAGTCTTGCCTTAGAGGGTACTCAGAGCATTCTCAGGATAGTTTTCCTTCTTCTAATGTGTTGGGAAGAAAAAACTCTCTTCCACAATTTTTCTTTCTGTTTCTCTCCACTTTTTCAGATGTGTCTCAGTAGCCCTTTCTATAACTGATTTTCCTAAGACAGTGGTACTGAAGCATTGGCCATTTATAATTTCTAGCAGAAGTATCATTACACTAGTGGATCAAGGACTCCTCACTCAGCATCCTAAAGCATGTCTAAGAACTGCTCATATATAAGCAAAAAACCAACAACAACAAAAAACCCCAAGCCTTTCCGAAGATACTTACACAGACCTGCACAGGCCTGTACTGTTGCACTCCTTGTACAACTCCCACTCTGTTCATATGAAGAAGATACAGCTAATGCTACTATAGGAAATTACAGACAGGGCTGTAACATCGAGAAGATCACAGGTAGCCCCAGGCAGCAGTTGTAGAAAAGAACTTTGTGTCTCTCATGGCAAACACTGGCTTTATCAGCAACCGATAAATAGGCATTGCAAATGTGGGCAGAAGTTTCACATTCTGGGATTAGATGAACTTGGAAAAATGTAGTTTGGTCAGAAACCCTCTGTCACATGCAATATAACCTGTGTCAAGCGAATATAAATTCTGGACAGCTGAAATTTTGCAGAGAGCCACTTTTGGAGAAGCCAAAATAATTTTGAGTGGGAAGTAAAACCCCTATATTCAAATGGCAAATAAGATAGCCAACACCTTAAATGGAGCAAATACTGTTTCTCACCCCATTTTTGATGCCAGCATGCTAGAAACACCAGTGACTGCATATAGGACCTTCATGTTTACAGTGAAGGAAGACACTTTGTAAAAGTCTTTTTGGTGCAGTAGTCTGGCAGTGTGTGCCTTAGTTAATTGTCTTATTAGTCCCTTAACAGAGTAGAACATATTATTCTTACCCATGGCAGGGGTTGCCAGTGTTTGTCGGCCTACTAACTGTGCAGGTCCAAGTCCATCGAGGAAATCACTAAACTGACTGTCAGCGCCCAGCCGTACTCCAGGAAATATTAAGCTGAAAAAAAATAAAAGCTGGTTAAGCATAAGATCAGGATTCATTTCTATCGTCCTACAGTATTTACCTCGAAAGTACTACTGATAAAAGGCAAGCAGCTCAGGATGGACAACCACAATTCTGCACCATCAGGAATGAGCTGTTTCCCATGGACTCCAAAGCAGTGTAGTGAAATTCTGCACACAGACACAAAATATTCCATAAACAGGTCTTGCTAAGCAGTTCTTCAGGAGCAGTGAAGAGTCTGACAGGTGAATAAACTGCGAGTGACCTTGTATGAGAAAACATAAAAGCTTCAAGAAATTTAATAGCCTGTCCTTCATTTTTGAATGTTTGACTGACTTAGATCCAAACCCCACCTGCATCAGTTAGAGCTAACAGGAAAACCAGATGTATACACTAAATTAATCTGATTGCTGCAGCTGTTTAATGAAGCAGTAAACTGGCAGGTAGTACTAGTGGTGATTAGAGTTAAACCTCATACCACTGCCTAGCCAAAATATTCTGGTAGACAAACTGGATCTACAGTTGGTACCTACCCCTCTTTCAAGATACAGATTGAACACATACATAGGCACAGATTATATGGAAACATTCAAGGCCAGGTTAGATGGGGCTTTAAGCAACCTGGTGCAGTTGAAGATGTGCCTGCTGAGGGCAGAGGGGTTGGACTAGATCTATACAGGTCCCTTCCAACTCAAACTATTCTATGATGCTATGATATCCGCTTTTCCAAGTTACTTTCTTATATTCCAGAGTCTCCACTTTATTTTTATTAGAGACAGTCTTCAAACAATAACAAGAGAAACAAACAAAAAAAAAGAGAAGGAGAGAAAGAATGACCCGTGGTGGGAAGACTCAGCTTTGACTTCCTCATCACGGTTATGAGGAATAAAGGAACAGAGTTTGAACTAAGTCTAGATAACATCTTACCCAGCAGGCCATCCACCACTCTATATCTGCTTCTCCTTCAAAGGAAATTCCTGAATAGACTGCAATAAATAATAAAAAAACTTCCTAATAAAAACATGTAGTGTGAAAAGCTTTGATTTCTTCACATCAGGCTTATGTGCTCCAGCCATTCAATTCACACTGAAAACTCTTTACAAACCCATAAGTTGCATAGAAAAAGCCCATTTCTCTCTTGAAAACTAACTGCTCTTACTATGCCTGCATAAACATATAGATTGTCTGTGACAAAAATTGGCCAGAAAATATCATAGAATCATAGAATATATTGAGTTGGAAGGGACCCACAAGAGTCATCAAAGTCTAACTCCTGGCCCTGCACAGGATCGTGCCCAAGAGTCACACCATGCACCCAAGATTATTGTCCAAATGCTTCTTGAACTCTGTCAGGCTTGGTGCTGTGACCACTTCCCTGGGGAGCCTGTTCCAGTGCCCAACCATGCTCTGGGTGAAGAACCTTTTCCTAATGTCCAACCTAAACCTCCCCTGACACATCCTCATACCATTCTCTTGGCACAGTGCTTCTCATTAGAAAACTCTGTTTTTCCAAGCGTTTAGTTTTAAAATCTGTCTTTTTTTAAAAAATAAGTTTTCTTTAGATGGAGGAGGAAAAGAATCTCAAGGTCTCCAGTTCAACCATCAGCCCACCACTTAGAGCATTCACCTAACCTTGAGATGCAGCTTCAAGCCCAGCCCTTTTGACAAGACACAATCTGCTTCTCACCCCAGTGTCATTATCCTTTCACTCTTGCTTCTGCTATGAAAAGTTTCTTGCTTGTTTCTTTGGCTTTTTTCCCAAGATGTGTCACATTTTGTCACATGTTGACTAACATAGAAAATATTCACTTGAGACCACATGTCCAGCTATACATATAATAATGAAGGTTGAGAAGTACACACTCATCTTAATGTATATTAATTATAGTTCATTAAACCCCAATTAAGGGCCAAGCAAGTACCTGGGGTACCTACTGTAGGGATAGCTGAGCTACGTATCTGATTGGTCTTAAGAAATGCAGCATGAGGAATGTTACTGTCAATAAATTATGTGATCCTAGAAGTAAAGTCAGGGTCACACACACAAGGAAGGACAAGAATCCCGTGCAAACTTAACTTAAGCACTTCCTAATTGTCATCATTCTCTCCCTACAGTAATGTCAAGAGTGAACTTCAGACAAAACAAGAGAAAAAAATGTTGCAAGCAACCCCACTATTCTGAATACAAGGTGCTGTCAAAAGCTGATTCAATGTTCACACTAGACATAACATCTGAAGTTAAAGCTGACCCTTCTAATGTTAAAAAGCAGGCCCAGGAAGGGAGAGAGGGAGATGATTTTAGGATCAGCTGGGACAGTGCCTGCACCCTGATTATGTAACAGAGCTGTGTGGTTTCCCCTCCACTGAGATTGTGTTGAAGTAATGTTCTACAAATAAGCCAGTGATGCACGTGGGGGAAGTAATTAAACAGTAGAAACTTCTTTTATTGGTCATCTTTCTTACCATTTAACTTTCTTCTTTCACTGTGGTCTAAACCCAGAGCTGTTGTAAACTAATATTATTCTATGGAACTCATACAAATTTGAAAACAACTGAGGATTTGATCCATAGCTAAATCACAGAATCACAGAAAAACAGAAGACTTCACAGAGGTTTTCTAAGCCACAAAGTGCAGCAACCCACTGAACAGAGCCCTCTGGCATCCCTTTTGCCTATGGCATTGTGTGCTGTTTAAAGAATGTTTCTCTTCTCTCATTTCAGCAAGATATATTTAACTTTTTCACCTGAGTTTTGTTGTCTCCCTCCTTTGACCCGTTCTTCCAGGCTTCCCTTCAGAGTCACCGTTAGATTTCAGTGGTGTTTTCACTTCACTGAACTCACTGTTTCTTTAGTCTTGCCAGAGATTGGAATACAGATGTGGAACTCAGAGAGAACAATCCTTAAAGCTAAGGTCAAGTAAAAAGTGGGTTTGGAGTCATGAAATAAAGCTGAGGTATACTGAGAATCGGGAATCAACCAGAAGAACTGGTAACTATCAAACCAAAACATAGTGAAAAGTTAGGGTGCCAAAAGAATGGATCAAAGAAGCAGGACAAACATGGTCAGATGTGAAGATAGCTACTGCATGAGAGATCTGAGAGGTAAGGAGAATTATCAGAGGCAGAACTGATGCTAGTGCAGCAAGAGATGGGGAGCAGGCACAGGTGCTGAGGAGACAGAAACAAGACATGAAATGCAGATAGTGTGACTACCAACTTATGATAGCTTGAAGATGTGCCTAGTTCTAAAGGACAATTTTCAAACTACATCCCACTACGCACACCCAGCCTGCAATATGTCCCAGTAAAAAGCAAGCACTCTGTTTACTTACCAGGCTTGCTCTCCTCACTGCCTTACTCAGAAGCTGATTCTGAAATAAACAGTTTAAGGCTCTACCTTTTTGTCCTCTAGATGCCTGCTGTGACCTCCAGATCCGGACCTTGGCTGTCCTAGCCTTGACAAATCTGTTTATACACAATGGAGGTGGAACAGAAGATTTAGCTGTTCCCCTAAAAATTTCTTCACCCCTAGTGCTGGCTCCCACCCCTCCCCTCCACTGCTAATCAGGAAAACAGGCTCCCACAGCTCCTCCTTAGCAGGGTCCAGTTTATTGGGTCCTTTGTTACCGAGGGGAGAGACTGATGCCTTACAGATTGACACTCCAGCATAGAGAGGAAGGAGGACGGCAGGATGGAGTGTTGAAAGTAATGCCCCATCAAAGAATCATAACGGTAAAAACCGGTCCCTTATTCTTCACTTGAGCCTTATCTGATTTGGTTTTGAATTATTCATGATGTAGCCTGTTTTTCTTATGTGGCTATTAAAATTCTTATCCGTGTGACTGCTGCTTGCTCTAGAACAGATGTATTGGTCCCATAATCTGACCAGTGGATGTTTAAGATTGTTCGGAGGCAGCGTTGATGGAAGCGTTCTAGGAGACGCAGGTGGTGGTGGTAGATGACCCATGATTCGGAACCATACAAGAGAGTAGACAGCACTATGGCTTTGTAAACACTGATCTTGGTACTTTTCTTCAAGTGTTTATTACGCCATACTCTTTTGTGGAGTTTTCCAAAAGCACTGTATTCCTTAGCTAACCTGTTGTCTATCTCTCCGTCAATCTTACCATCCGAGGAGATGAGGCTGCCTAGGTAATTAAACTGTTGGACTGATTTGAGCTCTGATTGGCCAATGGTGATGTGGGGATGATGGGGGACTTCCTGAGGTGCAGGTTGATGGAGAACCTCTGTCTTCTTTAAGCTGATTTCCAGCCCAAAGAGCTCAGCAGTATCTGCAAAGCAGGATGTTAAACGCTGCAGAGCTGCTTCTGTGTGGGCGACAAGGGCGGCGTCATCAGCATAAAGCAGCTCCTGGACAAGATGGTGAACTTGCCACTGGCTGCCGTAAGAGAGGAGCCCCGAAGAAAAGATGCAAGGACTCCCTGAAACAACATCTCAGCCTTGGCCATATTGATCACCATAACTGGTCTACTCTGGCCTCAAATCGGGAGGCCTGGAGAAACACCATCTATAACACAGATGTCTCCTTTGAGAACACACGCAGGATCACTCTCGAGGAGAAAAGGCAACACAGAAAGAATCGTGTTCTGCAGAATACACCATCTAAAGAGTCTTTCTACTGTGCCTTTTGCAATCGGATATGTCTATCTCATATTGGCCTCACAAGTCACCAACGTGCCTGTAACAAATGTGGTTAGAGCCTTCCCAAATCTTCGTTCGCGAAGCCCAGCCATGATGATGATTAAAATTCTTAGCATTGTCACAGAATCACGGGATGGTTAGGGTTGGAATGGACCTTAAAAATCATCTAGTTTTGATGCCCCTGCAATGCTCAAGGACGTCTTTCACTAGATCAGGTGACTCAAAGCCCCATCCAACCTGGTGGTGAATACTTCCGATGATGAGCCAATCCACAACTTCTCTGGGCAGAAGAGTGGTAACACAGTAAGCATATAAAAAGACGAAGCCAAAGAAGTCCAAATCTCTCATTTTGTTTCCAAGTCTATAGAGTGCATTTGCTTACCCCCATTTTCCCTTTCTGTGGGGAGTCATCTTCTAAGAATTCCCTAGTGACCGCTGTGCATTGGTACATGGTAGAGTCCCACTGAGAACTGTGAGGAGGTTGGAGTATTCATGCATTCTTTCATGTCAGAACTGCCTTTGTTCTCCTTTCCTACATATTGAGTTGTTTTGCAGTGAATGAAAACAGCTACCCCATTCCCCACAGCTGTCTGCCTGACTTAGCTGATGGGGCAGCTGGACTTTGCGTTTACAATTCTCAATAAGAGACTTGGACCAACTCCAAACTAAACTTTCTTTGTATATAGTATTACTGAACAGTTTCATATCACAGGGATTCACATATGATGTCTGAAGTTTAACTCTGAGGTAATCCAAACATAACTTAAAGAAAAGTACCCCTATGTTTTGCTTTGAATAATGCAGTCTGAATTTAGTTGTCTTTTGATGAACAAAATGCCTTGCTGGATGCCAGAAAATAAGAATTCTTAAGGAATCCTCTCCTGATTTCAATTTCTGAGAAATTTATGTTGTGCACCTAAAATACTGCAATTTTTCAAATGTTTCAAGAGGAAGAATCTGTACACAGAGCCATCCCTTTCAGCTAGAGCTTGGGACATCCCAAGTAACTTGGGAAAGAAACTTCTCCCTCCTTAGAAATTTCTCCTACATTACTCATATTTTTAATGCCACTTACTTGCCCTCAGAGCTATAACTATTTATGCTGCCGTCAGTGGATTCCCGACTTGGCTGTCGAACCATACGACTTCTCATCTCTGCTGCCATTCCTGTTTCTGTGCTTCTCTGTATTGTGCTCTTTAGCTTCTTGCTGCCACCCTCTGAAAGCAGAGAAAAAGAAGCCACAGTTAGAATGACAACTTAGAGCAAAGTGTTTCCTTGCAGTTTCCCCTCATTAACAGTGATCTGACTTAATCATTACTATTTAATATCATAAAAAGACTATTCTGATTGAAAAAGCAGTCTCTCTTCCCCAGTTGCAAACTGGAAATAGCTTCTCTTTAAAAGAGCTGAAACCTGAAGATCTTCATTAGGGCAAACTGTTAGAAACTTGATATCTTTTTAATAACATTTGCACAGTTGGAATGTAGCCAGTTCTGATAGTGTTTGCTAACCACATACTCAGTAATGTGCTTCTAGACACCTTGTTAGTTGGTTGGGTGATGGCAAAAGAAGTTACAACTCTCACAGAAAAAAAAGATGGAAAAAATCCTTCATGCATTCCACAGAAAAATGTTAAGTATTAAGATACTTAGTATCAAAAATATAATAATGCACTTTGACTTGGTAAAATCTTACTTTTCACCACAAAACATCTTCAAAGTAAATAGTGAACTTTATAGAATTTATGAGCTCAGTATTTCCTCAGCGGAAATAACTCTTGGAGAATATGTTTGGGAGATCAAAGAATAGTTAAAGCTGGATGGGACCACATCTGGGTCATCTGGTCCAACATCCCTGCTCAAGCAGGGTCTGCTAGAGCACATGGTACGGGCTTGCATCCAGACAGTTCTTGAATATCTCCAGTAAGGGAGACTCCACAACCCTTCTGGGCAGTCACAATCTAGGCTTGCAACTGAACATTAGAAAGTAATGTAAATCTTGGGGAATTTCCATTTGGAAAAGCTTCTATCACACATTCTTTAAAATGCAATTTGATTTCCACCTGGAAGGTTTCATATTTCCCTTGAGCAAGAGAGCTTCCAGTCCTTTACAGATCCTTTTCAGATTATGGCTGATCTACAGTGAATTCTGCTGTTTCATGGCAGAAATTATACTTCTAGATGATGATTGTTGTTCTGAACAATCTTTAACTAAATTACTTTCACCAAAGTCTCCATGTGATGTAATAACGTGTGTTGTCTTCAAATTCAGTATCCTGTTCTTTTTCATTTAGTTCAAAATGGGTACTCAAAATTCAATGGGTACCATTACTTTCTCTCAGAAAGTAGTAATTTTGACAAAGTTTCATGTAAGTACATGCAAAAACATTCTTCTGCATTTGCTTCTTCATTTTGGTGCTCCTTCACTTGCTCTTTGCAAAGTCTGTACTTCGTTTTCATCATCTGCTCAGGGGAATACCTGAAAAAGCGAATGTTTCTTCCATCTCCATCTGCTGTGGAGACTGAATTGCTCTTAAAGGTTTTTTCAGCTCCCTCTTTAACTGGGACATTGTTGATGCTTGAAACCGACAGATCATGACCTTTTGTCACATAAAATTCAGGTCTTTGGTAGTGCCCACGTGGTCTGCCCATTGCTCAGGGTGTTTAAACACACTATCAAGAAGAGCTGGCCCTTGCTCTTTAGGTCTGCAGAGCTCGTGGAGGACAAGGAGAAATCACACCATACAGCTACCAGAGTAACCTCTTTGGAGCTAGCAGAGAAATAGAAAACATGGCCACAGAGAAAAGGAAAGAGTTTGTATATTGGGCTCAGAGGGGACATGATCACAGTGAAAGAGGCTGTGGTTTCACTCTTAAGCTTTCTGGATGAGGGTTGTTTATCTATGGCCACCCAGAAACAGAAAAACAAATGCCTCTGAGTGGAAGAGATCAGCTACTTCCACAGATCCTTTACTCCCTTCTGAGGCCAACAGCTCTGAGGTTTTCCTGTGGACCACCACAACTCATCCAAATTCCCAGTCCTTGGTTATTCAGTGCTGCTAAATAGGATGGAGAGTAGGGTAGGCAAGGTACACCAGGCAGACCAGGTTCCACTCTTACACAGTGCTGGTGCAGAAGGTATTTGCTGGAGCTTCAGTGACTCCATATGTAGAAAACCAAATGCTAAGTTTTGTCCTGAACTTTCTCTTTAAAAACAGAGAGTGTTCAGCATACTCTGAAAGGTAGGCTGAGCATCAAAAATTAATCAAAAGGCAGCCTAGAAAGTATAAGCCATACACAGCATTGTACTCCAAAATAGGATTCACACTTTCTGTAAACATGCATTTACCCACCAATACTGTTTTTTCTCTCTCTCTGTCTTGCCAAGACCTGTCTGAAAGTGTCTCTGTTTCCATTTGCTCCTAGAAAGTGTGTGAGATTATGTGGTTTACCCCTGTCTTCTTTTCTGGAGCCAGCCAGATCAGGCAGCATAACCAGAAGGATTTAATATGGTAGAACCTGAAATGTATTCAGCTGAGTAAGGTTGCTTGTGAGTATTCAGGGTTCAGGAAAGGGAAATTATGAGATTCTAGAGTTAGCTACAAGACCAGCATAGCACAAATCGGTAAAGAGATGTTGTTATGGACCCCCTAGAAAACATGGTGGGTGCTGAAACTTAGGGATTGGAGCGAGGCTGTTGGGACAACATAATGAACATCGTCATAAAAATAATCACTATGAAAAATATCCACTGGCTAGACCACAAAAATGAATATTTTAGCTTTGAGCTACAGTAGAGATTGAAAATAGCAAATGGATTTTTTTTTTTTTAGACTAATATTACATTGTCATGGATAACATCAATATTGCTGCTTAAACACATTTTGCTCCATAGATTTTAAATGCACAGACCATGCAGTAGGAATCCTTGTGCATGGCCATAAGCAAGTTCAAAATCTTGTCTCACTGTGCTGCAAATAACAGATTGTCTTTTTCCAAATACTTTTCACGTCACTGCTCTCTGTCTTACAGCGCTGGTTCCACTTCTTTTTCTTTTCTCATCAACATTTTTTCTCAGGTTGAAGATTAAAAAGCATCCTTTTGTCTCCTCTTATAAGTGCTACTAATACCCACAATGTTTCCTGGGAAAACTAGAGTCCTCCTATATATTTTATTTTATAATCTCAGTCTTAATATTCTGCAGTACAATCAGAAATATAACATAAAAGTAACCCAACGGAATGATAAACTACAACAAAGAGTTTATGACATAGAGGAAATTGCTTTTGCCCATGGTTAAAAAACCAAATACATGTTTCACAGGTTTCGGAAGTTTTATGCATCTCATTTCTGTCCACTTATATAAAAAAAGTAAAGAGCTAGTTTATCTTGTTAGTGTACTCCTGCAAACTTCTCAGTAAAATTTAGTTCTGGGAGGGAGGTGCTTAGCATACTGCTGATTTGGGAACTGCTGCTATTTCTAAAGGCACCCCAGCAACATGAACTCACTCTGGGGTACAACTTCCCTGGGAAGGGGAAGGGGGGGGAAGGACTGTCAAGTCCTGCCTTAACAGCACAATGAAGTACAGGATCCAAACAACCACAGTTGTTTCTCCTGATATTGATATTACATTTTTTTAAACTTTTATTTTCATCTTGCATTACATTTAATCTAACATATATCTTTGCATATATCTTTGGAATGCTGTCTTTATATGAACAATACAGGTTCATAAAATATTCAAGTTCAATATCTATGCTATGATATACTGAGAAGATCTTCTGCTCATCTGGATATCTACTGGAGAATGCTTGGTCCTGCTCCCAATTTTTATTAGTTTGATATGTACAATTAAATTTTACAATATGTTACAGTCATTTGCCTGCCCTGTGTAAATTACACTGTATTCATTGTGCAGACTGAAGATAAGCAGACTCTATACTGAATACCATTTAGAGGTAAAATTTACTCCTGTATGTTTCTGTATGCATCTGTCTGCTGTGTCAGTTGTGTAAGGCTTTCTGCATGCAGCAATGTGGATTGATGTGCATATATTACATGGAAACACCTGGCTTAACAGGTACAAGTCAGAGAAAAACTATTACAGAGCAATTGTGATTCAATATTTTTGCAGATTTAATAATTGATGGCAAAGGATCATAAAGCAGCCACCTGCAGCTACAAAATATACACAGCATGTAAGCATTTTGCAATTTATCAATAGGCTTGTTGTAGCACTCCTGCTACACTGATGAGTGTGTGCAATGTGCTATTTCCATCTACATATTATAAATGTAGCCTATAGTAATTCCTTTTTGGTTTGACAAGAAACTAGTCCCTGATTTTGGTTTTCCTAGACAAAATTAACTTAACAGATCAAGCAGTGCAAAAAGCAAATATGCACTATCTTACATTTGCAATTACAATGCAATTGATGCGTCCCCAATTTCTATACTTCCTAATTGCTTTCAAGTGTAGAAGCCAGGAACTATTGACAACAGAATTATATTATCGAGAAAGGGTCAGTGAGAGTATCTAGAGGTATAAGATGTCCTACTAGAGATACCTCAAGGCTAGCTTTACATCTCTAAGGCATCCAATTCAGAGGGGACAATGCCAGAACATTCCTCCCTCCCAGCCCCCTGCTTAGCAAAGCCATGACTGCACATGGCATCACTGTTTGCCTGGCTTTTCCTTTGTGCTTCATGTGGTGCCTGGAATCAGCTATTACATTTTGCTCATTTCAGTATAGGAAGTCTGAAATATCAGGAGGGGCTGCTGGACTAAAGCTTTTATGTAAGGTGCCAAGGTGCATATTATATGCCATTGAACAAGCCTAGGGGACAAGAATATAAGAATATGAGAATATGCAAGGACATGAGCTTGGCAATTTAGTCAATAGGACAGTGTTAAAGACTGCTGTAGGGCAGAAGAAAATGCTAACGTGACCCTCTGTGTACTGCCTATAGGGAAAGGTGTCTTAATGAGCATTGCCCAGAATCATACATGAGTGCAACTAGTTGGTTAGCACCAAAAAAAAAGAAGCAATTTCACACACATGCAGCACCTGGGTATGTGGTATGGAAAATTCATGATAATTTCAAAAGAACACACCAGAGAACAAAGCATATACCACTACTAAATCCACAATGAAAGGGATCATAAGAAGAGTGATAATACTCAATGTCATTGCATGACTCAAGGGCAAATTATTCAT